GTTTAATTCGGAGACTTGGCTGATTCGGCAGTGGCCGAATCTCTGAATCAGATTCGGCCAAATTAATTTGGGACAGTGATTCGAATCACCAAACGGAATAACTATCCCCTGAATTGGCTGAATCCAAATCTCAGGTGAATACTAGCTGCATCACACAGGCTTAACAGACACTATTTTCCTCTTCCTTTTCCCCAGTCAGAAACACCAGGAGGAAATGTGTAGATTATCTAAAGTCATATCAAATTGTCTTGCTGCTATAACAGTTTTGTTCTAAGGCCCTCTCCAGATGTTACATTTATCATGTTATTATTGTGTTAATCATGCAATAAATTGTAAGATGCCATATGTTCAAGCAATTGATCATGCAAAAAAATGTGAGAACGAGCCACAAAGATATTACTTATTAAATGTGGAACATCTTTGTGGCTAGTTTATATCATGCTTTAATTTGAACTCTTGGCATGTCAGTTTAAAAAGTCCAAGGGGAAACCAGACTCAGAAGCTACTGGGAAGTGATCTTTAAACTTGCTGGCATGCAGGGACTCCCCATTGGAAATGGGCTCTTCAAGTGCTATGCTGCCTACAAGTCCGTTTAAATTTCCCAGCATGTGCAGAGTTCAGCACTGGGGAGCAGTCTATAACTAATCCCAAGTTTAAAGGGGCACATGCAGTTCAGCACTGGTGAATGGCTCCCCAGTTCTGGACTGCATGAATGGCCAGGCATGCAGATCCAGTATCACACAATAACCTTGTGGGAAAACTGGCAGATTGTGGGCTCAGCTGCTTGATGGTTCATTAGGTGGGAAAGTGGCAGGACCCAGAGTGCTCTCATGAATGGATCTGTGTCATTCTGGCACAAAGTGACCAGTGGTGTCCCTCAGGGGTCTGTGCTTGGACCAGTGCTTTTCAACATCTTTATCAGTGATTTGGATGGAGGAGTGAAAAGCTTGCTGGCCAAGTCCATGGATGACACCAAGTTATGTGGCAGTGTGGACATGCCAGAAGATAGGCTGCAGATACAGGAGGACCGGGACAGACTTGAGAGTTGGACAGATGGGAACCAGATGAAGTTTAACACTTCCAAGTGTGAGGTGCTCCACCTGTGGGCAAACAACCCTCAACATACAAACAGTCTTAGTGGTGACAGCTTGGCTTGCACCACATCTGAAAGGGACTTAGGGGTAATGAGAGACCATCGCATGAATATGAGCCATCAGTGCAAAGCAGTGGTCAGCAGGGCAAACAACACGCTGGCATGCATCAACTGATGCATCTTGTGTAAAACTAAGGATACTCCCACTGTACTCAGCACTGGTGAGACTGCAGTTGGAGTACTGCATCCAGTTCTAGGCACTGGACTTCAATAAGGACATGGAAAAACTTGAGCGGGTCAGAAAAGAGCCACCCATATTATCAGTGACTTGCAAGGCAAGCCATACAAGGAAAGGCTGAGGGAACTGAGCCTCTTTAGCCTAAAGAACTGAAGATTGAGAAGAAGATTGAGAAGGGACTTGATAGTGGCTTACTGCTATATCAGGGGAGTGCATCAGGAGCTTGGTGAACAACTGTTCACTAGGGCACCCCCAGGGAAGACCAGGATCAATGAATACAAACTCCTGGAAGGCTGCTTCAGGCTTAATACCAGGAAACAACTCCTTCATAGTCAGAGTGTCCAAACTGTGGAATAAACTCTCTCCAGAGGTGGTACAGTCACCTATCCTGGAGGTTTTCAAGAGCAGACTAGAGAGTCTCCTTGCTGGGGTCACTTAACCCCAGCTGTCTTCCTGCCTAGAGTGGGGGGCAGGGGCTGGACCCAATGATCTTCAAGGTCCCTTCCAGCCCCTAACAATCTATGAATCTCTGAAATGCCCAAGATCAGGGAGTCACTCCTCAATCCTGGACTCCACCCCCACCACTCCCTCCCACCAGTAGATACAGGATGGGACCTGAGCAATTTAATCCTAGACGTCAAAAACTGTACATCCTGCCATGCCAGACCTTGCCAGTTTTTTGGGAACTGGGATAAAATTCCTCAGGTCCCATCCCACAATTAAATTAACATCTGGAGAGGCTTAAGTTAGAACACTGAGGCAAAAAAGTGACATCTACAGTCTGCTGTTTTGGGACAGTATAGATTACTTAATCTATACTAGAGGATGACATTTAGGTGTCTTAGACCAGCAAGCTACAAAAATCTAATAATCCACATTGATTACTTATTTATCATACATGAAAAAGCCACAATCAACCTTTCTTCTGGTTATTGTAGATGGAATATATCCAAGCACTACTTTATATTTTTATATTTTATATATTTTATCTTCATAAAAATATTTTTGAGATACCAA